GAGAGCAGGGTTAGCAAGGTAGCAAGGTTACAGTGCCCTTGTAGTTGTTAGTTGGCTGGTAAAAAGGACGTTGTGATTAGCAAAACAAAAGGCATCGAAGAACCACCGGTGTCAACGAAAGGAGGGAGTAAGAGGCGAAATCAACATTTAAGCCAGAGCCAATAATGAGCTTAGCTTTTGCAATATGTATGAGCTAATTATAAAGCATATATTAAGCTGTTAGCAATGATCAATAAACGAAGCTTGTTGATTCTCATATTGAGTGTCTCTTTCTTCCCTCGTTGCGACAAATGGCGCCTGAACAGGGGCTAAGTTAAATCTGCAGTCCCCGAAACCTGAACGGGAGCTAGGTTAAATCTGCACTCCCCGAAGCCACGGTCCAACGCAGTAGCCGGTCGGTCTTGCAGCAGCACAAGAGGCAAAAGAGCTGGACTCTGTGCCCCGGGCGACCTTATAGGAGGGTCCCGGCCGACAACACCGCCGACGTCTTGTAAAGGGTTGCAACAGCGCGCTGAAGATTTATAGGTATGGAAAGACAAGCAGTGCTTTTATTACTCCAGTGCTTTTTAGAAAAGCGGGGACTTAAGGGTATAGATTTGAAAAAAGAATTACCAAGATTGCTTGCGACGGGGGTTGCTAAAAGTTATCTTGTGGACCCTAATACAGTTTTTGATGAAGGAGAATGGAGACGTTATGGGGTTAAGTTATGGGAGGTTGCCGCGGAGACGGAGCTCGGTGTAACATGAGAAAAGTAGAGAAGCTGCCAGGCCAGCCAGACAAGACGCCTGGACAGGTGAGCCACCGAGAACAAGAGGGATCTAATGTTGCATCTATATGGAAGTCTATCCTGCTTAAAAAAGGGAGAGAAATTAGACGAACTGGCTTTGCGGCAGGTGCTGCTTTCATGTAAGAGCCAGGGATATGAAGCGAACACTGTAACTGCCTTTACTATCTCTACTTGGAAAGAACTTAGTGATAAGCTCTTTACTGCTGCCTATAAAGGAGAAAAAGTTGCTGCTTCCCTCCTTACAACTTGGCGATTGTTATCTGGAACAGTAAAAGGCATTAAAGCACAGTCTGAGGACATTAGAATGCTACTAGATACCATCATACGGAGAAATCGTGCAAAAAGGGAGTCGAGCGGAGTTGAAGGGAGCCGGAGCGGGGCTGGGGACAACCAAGCGGCCCCGCCAACATGAACGCGGTGCTAGCATCTCGGCAGTGCATATCCAGGACGATCGGAGACGACAGCTGCAGTGTGAAAGTACTGCTGATGGACCAGGGATGAACTTTACGAACACTATGACTGAGTTCCACCTTAAGACATTTCCAGCTTTTCATCTGAACTGTGCTGCGGGACTGCGCTGCGCATTTGTGGCTCTGTTCACGGCGCTGGGTGCTTGCGCCGCCGTGCTGAGTGAACCCGGGGCGGTGCCGGGCGGCGGGGCAGTGGCGGTGGTCGCGGCGCCTGCGCGGCCCCGGCTCGGAGTGGTGCGCCCGTGCGCGTGCACGCCGGCGGCCCCGGGCGCGGCGGGCGGCGGGGGGGCTCTGTTTCCCCCGCACTGCTGACAGCCATGGTCTCGGGGGGTGTGTGTTCCCCTTCCCTTCTTTGCAGCGAGTGTTTTTTCCCTGGTGCCGCTCCTCTTTCTAGAGTGGCGAGTTAATAATGGCCAGTCTTCGTGAGCGAAGATTTGGGAAAGGTCATTGACCCTTCGAGCCTGCGCAGTGGATTTTTTAGGTGAGACACAGCGTGTGCTGAACTGAGCCCACCCTTTAATCCTGAGGTTCATCTGCCGGGGCCGAGTGAAACTCGGACAGTGGCAGTGAGGGTCTCAGAACGTAGGTTTGTTTAGAGTGACCTTCTCTTAGATGGATTGCCTCACAGGGCTAACGAGCTCCATCTGCCCGGGGGGCCGGGAATCGAACCCGGGTCACAGCGGTGAGAGTCCTGCACCCTAACCACTAGACCACCAGAGTGGCGAGTTAATGACGGTAGCAAAAGCTTCGGAGAGTGCAGCTGGGGGAGCGGGAAAGCTGTTTCTCTTTTTCCCCGTTACACCAATCTCTGAAGCGTGCCTGTTTGTAGCTGTTCTCTCCCTCTCCTATGTTTTTGTTTTTTCTCAAGCAGACCCTGTGATTAAGTTAAGTTCCTTCTGCTGATCTCTCTGGGTGAGCCCAGCCCCTCCTCCCCCCTCCTTCGTCCTTCGGCAATGAGAGGCGTGGGGGGAGGCAAAGACGGTAAAACACGGAAAAAAGGGAAAAGAGAAAAAACAACTTAAAGTTAACAATATCCCAACTTATAAATCAAATAAGATTGCATTGTTTTTACAGCAATAGGTGTTACGCATGCAGTGTGCTCATGGCATTCTCAAACATTTTCTTCAAAAAACAGAAAGGGAGACCGACAAAAAATCCCTTGAAGTAAGATCAGAAATAATGGAACATCCGTGCTTAGCTTTTTGCATATTACGGAAGGTTATTAAGAATTTCCTATAGTTTGCTATTTTGCTTGTCTTACATGAAATTTGGCTGTTTCCCCCTGGGGCAGGGTGCAGGTAGAAGATTTGGAGATGGAACGATGAGACAGAAAGAGATACAGTCTTGCCCCCTGCAAAAGTAGTTTTATTACCTTTATGACAGAATATCATTGCTCTATGAGAAGGGTTGAAGATTTCCAGGATAATATTCTGTTCTTTCTTGCTGTATTTGTCTTTTACATGGAGAGTTATGCAGGATTTGCAGATTGCTGATGGCGGCTATGCCATAAATTTCCTTTGAATTATGAAACTGATAAGAAGTGCACAGCCAATGACTACTTGAAAATGTGTGTGTGATTGAGGAGGGTGTTTGAGGTGGCCACCTGAATGCAGGAGTGGAAAAAGATTGTGTGAGAGAGAAAAGCTACATGAATGTGTGACTGTGTAAACTTAAAAATACTTTCTGCCGGTGTCAAGATTTTAGAGATGTGTAACATGATTCTGTTGAACCATAGTGAATCCTTATTCTGAATGGTATATGAATTCTTCAAATTTCCACCATGCGTAATTCCACTCTTACGAAAACTGGTGAAGTTTTAGTTATTTCAAGACTTGCCCTGTCTGACTAGCCATATGATTAGGACTGAAGTTAAATAAGAGGTTCTTACACAAATTTGGTGTTCTATTTCTGCCTTGTTTCAGAAATTTATGAAAGTTAATTCTCAAGTGGAGTTTTTCCACTGCTGTTGTTCCTTAGCTGTGCGAGCTGTGCAGGAGACCACTAGTTTTAGAGCGAGTAAAAACCATAAGCCAGCAAACATTAGTGCAGACTGCAAGGTTAGCAGAGCCCGGAGCAAGGTGCACCACTATGCATCCAGGTGCCCGGGAACCATTCTTACAGTTCGTGGAAAAGCTGCAAGATGCTGCAGAGAAACAAATTCTGTGACAGTTATTGAAGTTGCTAGTTACATAATTAGCTAGAGATAATGCAGGCTTGTGCCGGGGTGAGGTCCTTACACCATCAAATAATTGCATTTGCATCTGCTATGGCAGTAGTGAGGGTCGTTTTGAGCTTTTCTGTGTTTTCCAGCATTTAAATCAGGAGTTGTCGATGTTGCTGCCTTGCTTGTTAAGCTCGTTGCAGGGGGGATCTTTACAGACTGTCAAGGCCATCCTGCGTGCCTTCTCAAAGAACATCTGCAGTGTTGTGAATAGTGTGTCTTCAGGCCTCCTGGCTGGAGGCCAGAGCAGACCAGTTATGTTGATCAATGTGCTGTGTTCTCAGCAAAATAGCCTCACTACTTGTGACTACTACTTGTTTCATACCAGACGTATTGCTTGCATAATTTGACTAGTGAATGCTTAGGGTTGCTCAAAGCTTGCTGTTAATTGTCCAAACAAACAAACAAACTTCTGTAGTCATTCCAAGGGTTAGGGTTGTGATACTAGGAGGTACTGCTCGGAGTTTTCTTTTAGAACATACAGATCCTGTGTGACTTAAGCAATGGCTCCTACCTACAGAACAGCTGTTGGCCCTGCAACAGCTTGTCAAAAGGCAGCTTGATGCTGATTACATTGAACCATCTCAGAATCCTTTAATTACCCCTGTGTTTGTGATAAAGAAAAAATCTGTGAAATGAAAACCGTTGCATGATCTCAGACGGGTTGGTGCAGTCATGTTTAGTAAGCATTAGCTTACTGACCCCTTCTGTGCTTTCTGCTGAATAACCCATTGTTATTATTGATTTGACAGGTTATCTTTTCACAATCCAGTTAGATCCCAGTGATAGAGAAAAAATTTGCATTTTCAGTTCCATCTATTATTCGTGCAGAACCTTATGAGTGTTATACATAGAAAACCCTCTCCCAGGAAATGAAGATATTTCTATAATTTGTCAGTGGTTTATGTTTCCAACATTATTCCCTGTACTAATGCAATTTTCTGACTGTCTTTTGTTGTCATTATATAGATGATATTTCTGCTGGCTGTAGCCACTGAAGATCAGCTGGGTGTGTTGGACGCTGAAACCAGAAAGAGTCTACAATTCTTTGGCCTAGTAGTTGCTCCTGACACGGTGCAGTGAAAAGTACCCTAGAAATATTTAGGGTTCACGTTCACAAAAAGCAATCATTCCTCAACCTGTTCAATTGGGTATTAATGTTAAAACT